GCCGTACATTAGCAATGCCTCGTAGTTAAGCACAGGAGTCACCGTGCTTCGCTGTTCAAGAACAAGGGCTTATTTAAAAAGAAGAGGGGGAAAAAAAGAAAAAAAATCCACAAACCGACCCTGGTTTTGTGCTGTTCAGCCCGAGTCGAAGTTTTATTAAAGATTTCCATTCGGCAGAACCATCTAATAAATCTTACTGGTTAGCAGTCAGAAGAGGAGGAAGAAAATGCTTTTCTGGTGTCTGTTGGGAATTGCTGGTACTAAATTAGCTGCTGTGGAATTATTGCTGGCACCATCATGCTGCCGCTGTTGCCCCGTGGAGGCTCTCTGTAGCACACGCCTGTTTGCACGCCGCCTGCATCCTAAGCAAGCAGAATATGGAATTTTTAATCATGCACCGAAACGCATTCAGTATTCTTTTTGCTCGCGGAAAAATAAACCCGTGAAGGGCATGGCGGGAGGGGAGAGCGCCTGCCTGCAGAGGGAGGGCTGCCCAGCGCTGGAGGGGAGGGATGTTTTTGCAAGTCCTTCTGGCAGTAGGTGTTCGGCAGAGCAAGGTGTGATCATCCTGGCTCTTCATCCCTGTCTGCCACCTCCACCTCCAAAGATCCCGCAAACGAACAGGGGCTGCCAAACCGAGACGGGGTCCACGTGGCAAACGGGACACACCTGCCTAACGTTTGGGAAACGTCAAATATTTCCCTCATGTGTCGCATGGAAGGTGTTCAAGATCTGCGCCTGAACTCTCAGTGAATTTTAAAACACTTCAGGCGTATTATAGCTCTTTGCTGATTTGGCACCATCCCTCAAAGGGTTAATTCTAGGCCAACACAAATTTCCTATTGACTTCCATCAGGCCGGGCTTAATCTGAAAATGATGCTCAATTCGCTCTTCTGTTGATTGTGAGCTGGATACCTGAACCATTTATTTTTCATTTTTCATTAAAAGTAATTTAACTTGATATTAAAACTATTTGAATGGACCTTTAATTTTTCACATGCGGGGAATGTCACGCACACATCCCCGTGCTTGAAGCCATCACGCTCCCTTGTCACTAACATGTAGAAACAGTGCAGATAAAAATACAAGTGATGCGGTCAAGATTTTTCCCAGCAAATTTGGTATCGAGTGATTCCTGGTGAGAGGAGATCAATAGCACGCAGTTAATTTTTAAGTTGTTTATGTTGCTGCTTTTAAACCATGTTTTTTGTGATCCATGCTAATGACTGGAATGAGGAATTTATAGATTCATAGACTAAGGTCAGAAAGGATCTCTGCGCTCAGTTAATCTGAGCTTGTGTATACGCAGGCCATGGACTTCTCCCCAGGCAGTATCTCTCTTGGAAACATATCTAATCTCCTCTTAAGGACACCGAGTGTTGGTGACTTCGCCCCCTCCCTTGCTAGTTCACTGTTTAATTATCCTTGCTGTTGGGAAAGTGCCTCACTTCAAGGCTGAGATGTGTAACTTGACTTTTTAGCCTGTGTAACCTGCTATGCTTTTGTCTGCAAGACTGAAAGCTTTTCCATTTGCTCCCAGTGATCAAGTCACCTCTCAGCCTTTCTTTGATAAACTCCTCAAATTTCACGTCAAAGATCTGATTTGCAACCTGGGGTCATTTTTTGCAGCTTTGAACTTCTGCCAATATTTCCGCATGTTGATGCGTGGATCCAAGACCTGCATTCGTCTCGCCGACGCCGTATTCAACAGCACTCTCTCTTCCCAGCTTCAACTTGTTTTCATTTCGGTGTTAAGGCTTATATGATATATCCAATATTGCACTGACCTTTTATCCACGGCATTGGGATGAGAGCTCATGTTGTGTACGTCTGAGTGTTCTCCTTTACATCCTCCTCCAAGTTCCTGCCTTTCCAAGGGCAGCAGGGCTGCTACGCAGGTACAGCTCATGACTCTGCCTCCTCCATGTATTACTTTGCCTTTAAAAGTCTGCCGCTAGCTTGAGACCGTCTAACTGAGACATGCAGGTAACTGGCTAGAATAGCTCCTTCTGTACTATTTTTTTCCCCACCAAATGTTATACCACCTGCAACCTTTACCAGGGGAGTTTTTCTACTACCTGGATTGTTGGTAGATATATTAAATAGCATTGAAGAAGAATCAACGCTCGCTACCAGTGGCCTTGCTCAATGATATCTTCTCATTAACAACTACATTTTGAGATGTCAGATTTAATCTCTCTAATGTGTGCCTTGTTAATTCCATATAATACCAGCCAAATACCTTGGAGAAATCGCAGTATATTATAGCATCACAGTTGTCTTTAGCAGCCAGGCATGTTTCATTAAAAACCAAAACAAAGAACCAAATTCCCCCCCAAAAAGCAAAACACAACAGGTCGCTTTAACAAGACCCATTTCCCAGGAAAGCGCATTGATTGCTGTTCATTGTATTATTAGTATCTAGTTATTTGTTGATGAAATCCCAAATTAACCACTCTGGTATTTTGCAGAGGACCAATATCAGGCTAAGTGAGACCACGTGGCCTGATGTTGGTACTTTGCAAAATTAATTGCTGCACTAAAATTCTCCCTTTCACCTTTACAAAATATGGAAACACTTCGGCAGTGCCCTGATCCATCCTGCACTGTAAGAGTTATTAAAAATCAACATTAGTGGTTCAAACAGCTTCTCAGTGAAGTCTCTAAAGACACCGGCATCCAAGCCGGCCGGGTTGCCTGATTTGAGAACTTAATTTCTGACCTTTTTCGTTCACATTTTTTCTTGCTGCCAACGCTGACCGCTTCTGGTTCCCTCGCAGCAAAATATGGAACCAAACCTTCTTGCGCCCTTCTGAATACAGATGAGAAATACCCATCCGACTGGTTTGTGCTACACTTTGCTACCTCATCAGCCTTGTCAGCAACGGTTTTATAACTGATTAAAATTACAAATTTGATCCCAAAAGGTTTAAAATGCCTTTCTTAGCCTTCACTACTTCCCTGGTTCCCTCAGCCTCCTGTAGCAGCAGCCAGTTTTTAACCTATTTGTTACTGCAAACCTCCCATTTTTTCTGTTTCCATACATGCTGATTTTTTTTTTTTTTTGTCATAGGTTTTACATTTCTTTTTGGCGTAAATATTTTCCCCAGCATCTTCAAGAATTTTTGAAAGTGTGCCTTTTTTGGCATCCAATCAGGATGTACGGAACTGTTCCTTTTTTTGGTGACTATCCCACTATAAATGTAGGTTTCCAGTCCACTGTTGGTTTAGGCTTTGGAAAAAAAAAAATAATTAAAAGTCTGAAGTTACTTTTTACTGATGGTTGTCATATTCTGCTTAAGCAAAGCCAGTTTATTACAGTGCCTAAGCAGCAGCTAATATTTAGGTTACGGGTTTACTCTCCTTGGTCCATCACGAGGTCTCCCACTGGATTCCCTTCAGCAGGGTGCAGAGCAAAGTATCCCTTCACGTTGGAAACCTTGGGAAGTTTTTGGGTGAGATGCTCAGCCAACAGCCTCTGGTTGAAATCACCCACGACTATGCAATTTCTCTTGTAGTGTATTCCAGATGCATAATTAACAGATTTTTGTTATGTTTTACAAAATAGAGACGTTCAAAGAGCAGTTTGTCTCTCTCTATGGGACAATATGGGAATGTACTAAATGTACAAGTCCCTCGTGTTTCATTTTACTGGTTAGGGCTCTAATCCTAAGCTGCATCGTACCAGTTATTTCTGGTTTTCAGGAGAAAAATATCATTGGCAGCTGCCTGAGCACTGCAGGCTCCTCCTCATCCTGCTTTGCCTCCTTCTAGCGCGGAGGGACAAGGAAGACTTGACCCTAGCACAGGACACACACGGCCGCAGCCACCCTGGATGGAGCCGGCTGCTTCGACCCCTTTACTTACAACAAAATATGCTTCAGCAGCCAAGAGAGGGCGCTCCTTAAATTAATAAAAGAAAGGAGAAAAAAGGAGAAAACAACAACAAAAAAAAACCAGCAAAAAAAGAGAAACCGGACATGCTTTCTTAAGAAGGAATTTTTTCCACCAATGTGAAATGTTAAATGCAACAAGTTAAAACACGGAGGTGTTTTTCAACCGTAGGATGGGGCGCATGGACACCCCTTGGGCAAAGAGCAGAGCTGCTGGCTGAACATTTTGGAGATGCGGGTCCATTGTGTGCCCGGCTGCTGCCCCGTTGCTGCCATCCCTCCCACCTCGGCCGGTGTTTTGCCCCGGCACAACCCCTCCACCCTGGTTTTGCTCAGTGCCTCAAGACGCTGCTGCATCGAACACCGATAACAAACCCTCACCCAGCGCCCGCGGCAGCGTGCAGGACCAGCCATGGCTTTTCCCCGTGAAACCGATAGTTCAGCCAGTCCCCAGCGCAGGTCTGCTCTGCGAGGGGCTGGCGCTGTTTTAAAGCCTGAAACAAGCCCATCTTTCTGTAACAGCCATGTAATAGTTTTTAAAAGGCCTTTAAGTGCTGCCAGTACCTGCGATGGGTGCCAAGTTTTATTTTTGTCAGCCAATTTGGGAAGTTTGTTAAACCTGTGACTGGGATCGGGGAAGAGAGCCCAAAAAGCAATCAAAAGCACGTAATAAATAATAATTAATATCAGTGTGTGGTGCTTACTCAGTATTTTTTTTTCTTTCAAGGTTCTTTTAGCTAGTTAGCAAAATCATGTTCCACATTATGGTGGCCTCTCCTACAGCGGGTATTTATCATCCTCCGGTTACACATGGCAAACTGAGGAAAACAGCGTTCCTGTAGTCTGCTGGAGGAGCCCAACACACGTCCCTCCCCGTGATCCATCACGCCTGAATGTGAAGACACGCATGAACCATAGCAGGGTCCTGGACGTGCACTTTGGGAAATTGCTGTGTCCCTGAACATGTATAAAAAAGGAGATGAGGCAAACCCCCAGATGGTACACACCTCCCTTCCCCTGTCCCCTTCACTGTTAGGTAGTATTAGCTTATTTATCAGCAGAAAATGTTAAGGCACCAGTAATTCAGTTTTAATGTTTTTTCTCACCTGCAGAACTGCCTGGAGTGGTTCATGTTGGGACCTGCTTTAATATTGCCTTTTTCTGGGTCATAGATGGTGGTTGCTCGTGCATAAGCTCCTCCAAGAATAAAGATGAACCCATTGAGAGTGACTGCAGGAGCATATTTGTTATCTGTCAATGGAAAGCAACACTGAGATCAGTTTTAGGCTCAGGTTTGGAGACTGTTTTTTTTATTTATACATTCCCCTTATTTATAGATAAGTCACGTCTCTCTAAACCTCCGAGGCTAGGGAAAAAAAAAAGGAAAGAAAAATGAGGAAACATTTCCTGGTTTTGTTCTTCTCTCTCCAAGTTCTCAAAGGCACTTTTAAAGTTCATCAGTCCTTCATGCCCCAGTACGCACCTCCCGCTAAACTGGTAAAGCACAATTATCCTCTCCCGAAGCCTAATGGAGTCACCGTGAAAGCTCCACTCTTACATATGAAATTAAGATGTCAAGTTGTTTCAGAATTTTGAATTGCTTCAAATTTTAACTCAGATGCTTCCATGCCTGTGCAGCAGCTAAGTACAGAAGAAACCCACAGTGCAGAGACACCCCTAATAATATCCAATAGTTGATTCTCTTTTGTATTCTGCTTTGGCTTGTGGGAAGGTCACCCACATAATCCAGAAGATTTTCTGAGACCTGATTCCCCTCCCCCCCCGCTTCATCTGTCTCATAAATTCACCTGCATTTTTATTTTCAGATGTGTGCGTACCTCCAAGCAGTTCTGTATTTTAGCAACGAACTATGTGAGATTGGGGTTTCAAATTGCTCAAGTACCTTATCCTACGTCAAGTTCAATCAGAGTTTCAAAGGATGCTTTAAAATTCTTGCGTTAGCTGTGGCATTATTAGAAATATTGCTAAAACTAACCATAAATTATCAAATAAAATAATTCTAATTTAATTAGTTGACTTGTCCCTTATGCTGCTAGCACACCATATGCACATTATTAAATATGAGCCAGTTGGGCTGAAATTTCTCATGATGGTGTCTGTCTTGATGCGATACAGGTTTTTTTAATCAACACTTCAGTGAAACCAATCAGCAGTGTCTGGGAACAAAAGATGGGAAAATACATTGCTAAAATAAGCCTCACAACCAGTTCTCTAAGCAGCAAGTGCCTAAGCTCTTTGGGGCACGAAGCAGACATTTCCTGGGTGGCTACGCTGGTGTCCAGCGACACTTCTATAAAAATTATCCATATGTAGCTATACGTTAAAGCCTCTTCAAAATCTGCATTTTTCTATGCTCGGAAAAGAGTGATTCTCTTGTGTCTCCAGTGGAGAATCAGCCTGAACACGGTCCTGCCAGCTTCAGCCCCGGCAACCCTCCTCCCGAGTGCAGGCAGTCAAGGCAGCGCGCTGGAGAGGAGGTGCAATATCATCTTTACTACACTCTTACATCTCTGGTAATGGCCCCTGCGCAACGTTGAAGGGGGTTCCTCCCAGGTCTATAACACTATGACTGTGTCCTCTTACAAACATGGAAAGAGATGGCCTTAAAGCAGCTCCAGCAGCTTTACTTTTGGCATTTGCTTACCTCTCGCACAGCTGGCGTCGTAACCCTGAGGTTCTTGTAAAAACCACCTTATTCCATTCAATATTTAACAAGAGATTTAATTTGACACGAGTTAAGCAACAGCTGATGAATTTCTCCAGAGGAGAGATCATTTCCTTAACTGGGCTTTGAACTGGTTAAACTAGAAGGAAAATAATGGTTTTGTGGTGTCTGCTTCTGTTCCAGCATGGCCATGGGGTGGTCTGGCACAGTTCATCTCACCCCACATCGGTGCATGCCCAGGGGGACATACGGGGCTGCAGCACCCAGCATGAAAACAGACAAAACAAGTTATGGGTTAAAGTTGGGCTCCTGTTACGCTGGGTATCTACAGGCACATGTCAAAAAACCACGTATGTATTAGGAAAATGTCACTGATCCTTGGGAACAGATGGGAAGAAACTAATTCATCCAGAAAATAGAACAAGGAGTATTCAGTTTCTTCTCAGTGCCGCTAAGCCACTATAATTCATCAGAAAGACTTATCTGTCCTAACAACCCGTCTCGCATCCCTTTCCAAATCAGACTTGCATATGTGACATTTTTTCCAGTTAAGACACTCATCAGAAATTTTCCATATTTAATTATCACATCTTCCTGTGTTTTTTTTTTTTTTCTTTGACTAGCACTGTTTTGCAGAAGAATGAAACTATCGGATAAAAAAAGAACTCAGCTCCCAAATCTCACAGGGAAATTATTTGGGGCTCCCTCAAGGCAGAACAGTGACTTCTCAGGAGAGTGAATCACTGACTTCACGTTCCTTTTTGTTAAAGAAAGAGAGGGAAACCCCTTGGTTATTTTTACAGTGACTTTTTTTCTTTCTTTCTTTTAAATAGGCAGACAGTCTGATATTCTTTTTCTTTCTTTTTTTTTTTTTTTTAAGAGGCAATTGTGTTTGATTTTCATCAATTTTTCAATACATCACCTTTCTAGTTTTTCACTGCTTTTCGCCTTAGCTACAATTTCATAAATTGGTATGAAGTAAGCCTGAGATAGAGAAACAGAGAAATCTCTGCTCTTCCTTTCAGGAAGAGAGAAGTTCGCAGCAAGCAGTATCTTGATCCTGATGAAGATACGGCAGACAGACACGAGGGACACCCCTCCAGAGACAGGTAGAGAGAAAACAGTGGGTTTTATTTTTGTTTTGTTACCATGGAGGCAGAAATTGTTCATGGACATGCGGAGCTTGGAAAACTCAAGCTGTCATTCCTGCCACCTAGGTGTGGATGACCACCTTCAGTCTTTACCCTTACTTCATCCCGGGTGATACCCACACTCTTCCCAGGTTGTTGTCCTTTCCAGGGCTTGGTAACCTCATGCAAACACTCAGGAGACTCCAACTTCTGTCGCTGCTCTCAGTCCTTAGCATGCTTATAGTGCAAGGCGGGTGGTCAGGGAGCCTAATGTTGTAAAAACATGTTCTGGTTGGGCTTTTTGGTCAAAGCTACTGGGCATGAACATGATCTCCTGTGCGTCAGAGGCTTACTGTGGCATACAGTGGGGACATTGGTTATTTCAGAATTCTGCTGGGGGGAAGGAAGAGAGGGGAGAGGAAGCATTGCAACAGAGGAACTGCCTCCTTTCCCCTCCAAAATTCAACTGTTGGGGCTGTCGGATATAGTAATCCATTTCAGGCTGGAAAATCTTAAATGGGATTTGTCCGGGACAGCAAGCACACTTGAGATTAAAAGGCAGAATAAATGTAAAGGAACTAATAGATAAAAGGTACTCTTCTCTCCAAGTGGATAACATCATAACATCATTCTCCTTTGCTGCTGCCACAGGAAAATATGCAAGTATTTCTATTCTCGTGACAGGTCATTGCGGGAAGGGGTATGCACTCAACGACAATCCTTGAGCCGGAGGTGTACTTCACATGGGGTTGATAATTTAACCTACTGGTGTTCTCACTGAATAATGACAGCGTGCTGTCTGTGATGTGTTTCATGGCTCTCGTATCTCTCGGTACATTATATGGTCAAGTAGCACAGTTCTGCTTTCCCTTTCATGATTGCTTAAAGATCTTATGTTGCCTTCCAGTAAAGCACTCGGTCAGAGACTGAAGTGGCATTACAATGAATGTCAGCAGCACTTCATATGGAAAAAGGTTATTAAAATCAAGCTAGTCGAACATTTTCATCAGGAGGAAGAAATGCGGGCATGCCACCGGTCCAGATACAATGCCAACCTGCATGCGCGGGTGGCCGGTGGGGGGGTGTTGATGCACATGATGAAGCAGCTGGAGAAAGGAGACTAGTTAATAGAAACTAAATCTATTTTAATAGTAACTGCCTCTTCCCTTCCCTGAATACTATGCAGACAAGCTCAAGAATGGCATAGTAATGGATAAGATAACGTCCCTCGGCTGCCGGGAGACTGCGGTCTGATCCTTAACATAGCTTGCGAGGCCAAAGTGCAAATATTGCAATTAACAGCAGGGTCTCAGATGTTAGCTCTTCTGGCACAGTGCTCTCCTGTTAGCTGACTTCTCATAACTACACAACCGGTCGCAGAGCCCTGTGGTTCCCCCAATGACCCTTGAGCAAACCATCCTCAGAGACCCCAAAGTTGAGCGTCCTCACTTGCAAACACTGCATTTCGTGTATGCGTGGTGGGGGATGACCCATGCCAAAGCTCCACCTGCCATCGTGGGGCGATTTCAGCACCAAATTTACAGGCAAAATGTTGATGAACCGAAGAGAGTTGGACAAAGCACGGCCACACAAATGAAACGGGTAGGAAGTGAAAGGGAAAGACACCTGCTAAAGGGCAAACACAAAAATACTGACTTTGCTGGGTAGAGGGCAGAGTATGTGTAAGGGGAACACATCAAGGAGTGGAAAAAACCATTCTGAATAGAGGATATGGCAAATATGAAGGAGAAGTGGGTGAGACAAAGGAATGAAAAATTCAAGCTCAGTAGTGGGAAAAACACTAAGAAAAATATGTTGAAGGATGAGAAGAAACACTCATTGCTTTTTCTTGCCGTTTCTCACTAGGTGAGAGACGGCCAAACCCACACATGGATCCTGAACTATTGGCCTTGGGGAGAGAGACAGGCCAAGACATACATCTGATTTCTCTTGCAAAGTCTAAAAATAAATTCATGGGAATCATTATGCATTTTAACCAAAATAAGCCATGGCACAGTGCAGTAAAAATGCACAGATGCTGCTAATGCTGTTTTCCAGATAATTCTTGCATTTTTAGCTCTGTGAATGTCTCGCTTTGGTCAGATATACCACTGCAGGAGTAAACGCTATGGTGAGGAACTAGATACTTGGATTAGATACCAGAAATGCTCATAGATCTTTGGCCTCTGTGTTCCCACAGTTCTCACTGGATTTTAAAATTTAATAGTGGAGATGATTAAGCACTGATTTTCTTGCAGTCCAGAAACATTAATAAAAACTTGTAATTCCACCAGTACAGACACTGACTGTTCATGGTATCAAAAAGGGTGTATTTTAGTGCCCTGGGATGAAGTCACAAGGTGAACTAAAAGGCAGTGACAAGATAATTAGGTTTACTTGCAGTCACTGACTTCTGCATGTCTGTGGCCATCTTGTTAAATAAGACAAACTTCAGGAAGCTGGACGTGAAATACATTTTTAGCAGAGCTATGTAGGACAACCTGGCAAGAAATGGAAAGGCAGGTGTTGCAAGTATGTAGCCTGGGCTCATTTACTCTTGTAGGACTTCGGCTTGACAGCAGCAAACTTCTTAAGCTCAAAACACAAGAAGGGGAAGTGTGAAATGGTTTATCAAAAACATGCAATGTGAAAGCTCTGGGAAGCTCCATTACTCCAGGAATATCAAGCTGTGGGCTGCGCTGCTGCAGGAACATCTGCCAGCTCCAAAGGCAGGGAGAACTGAACTGGGGCAAAGGATGGAGGACATCCTGGAATGTTGGAATGGAATCTCCAAACATGGATGTGTGTAATCAACACCTGCCCAAAGGCTACCACAGCATCCATGTGCAATGTGTTGGCGAGCCTAATGTCATACCTACTGCACGCAGGCATCCATGTCCCAACACCTCCTGGCAGGTGAAGGCTAAAGAACAAATGGAAACTGGGAGTCAATTTGCTGCTTTTGCCTAGAAGAAACTCAGGCAGAAGAGAGCAAGGGCTGAGCTGTGTACTTGCTATCGGTCCCCACTCCGTGTCTCCTCTGCACAGGCAGGATGTCAGTATCCAGCCTGCTTCACCTCCCTTCAGATTAGCCAAAAATGACCCTCCACTTTGCTGCAGTTGATGCCAGTGTTGCCTTGGGTTAGGCTGGCACACAACACTTTCGAAGAAATGGGCCTGTTGAGTTCAAATGTGTGCCATGCTGCATTCAACTCACCATCATAAAATACCAGTGACTTGAGACAGGTACTACCGGTCTAAAAATCTCCAGAGACCTTAGCTGCTTTCAATACCTGCATCTAATGTTGCATATGTGAGCATGCTTGAGGTTTTTAAATAATCCACTGTCCTATTTGAGGTCAGTTTTCACTGATCTCTGGGGTGATCTTAAACAACACAACTTGCCATCAGATATCTCAGTTGAGTTAGCTCAGAGGGCCACCTTAAGAATTCACAAATCAACACAAAAAGGCTCAGTCGCCGAGGAGTCCAATTGGTCCAATTTTTTGTTTAATATATTCATTAATGACCTGGATGAGGGGACAGAGTGTATCCTCAGCAAGTTCGCTGATGATACCAAACTGGGAAGGGTGGTTGACTCTCCAGAGGGCCGTGCTGCCATCCAGCGTGACCTGGACAGGCTGGAGAGCTGGGCAGAGAGGAACCTAACGAGGTTTAACATAAGCAAGTGCAGGGTCCTGCACCTGGGGAGGAAGAATGCTGGGCACCAGTATAGGTTAGGGGTGGACCTGCTGGGAACTAGCTCTGAGGGGAAGGATTTGGGGGTCCTGGTAGATAGTAAATTGTCAATGAGCCAGCAGTGTGCCCTTGTCGCCAAAAAGGCCAATGGAATCCTGGGCTGCATAGTACTGTGTCCAGTTTTGGGCTCCCCAGTTCAAGAGGGACAGGGAACTGCTGGAGAGAGTCCAGCAAAGGGCAACTAAGATGACTGAGGGATTGGAGCATCTCCCTTATGAGGAAAGGCTGAGAGAGCTGGGACTCTTTAGCCTGGAGAAGAGAAGGCTGAGGGGAGACCTTATTACTACTTACAAATATCTAAAGGGTGGGTTGAAGGAGGATGGAGCCAGACTCTTCTCGGTGGTTCCCAGTGACAGGACGAGGGGCAATGGGTGCAAGTTGGAACATAGGAAGTTCCGTTCCAACACATGGAAAAACTTCTTTACAGTTGGGGTGACAGAGCAGTGGCACAGGCTGCCCAGGGAGGGTGTGGAGTCCTCTTCTCTGGAGATTTTCAAGACCCGCCTGGATGCAGTCCTGAGTAATGTGCTCTGGGCAATCCTGCTTTAGCAGGGGAGTTGGACTAGATGATCTCTAGAGGTCCCTTCCAACTCTGAAAATTCTGTGATTCTGTGATTCTGTGAGGCTGTCAAAGGCACCCCAGCAGTGACCCTAACAGGGTTCAGCTCAGCTCCATTTTGTAAAAAGCACCCCAAGACTCCTTCTACTCCCTCTTTGTTTTAGGTAAATGTTGACTGTACTGCACTTGTCAGAGCATCCAGTTCTTGGGGGATACTTCACAAACACAGGTGATACTATGGTTCTTGTAGGGCTGGAGAAATTCAAATACATTTCCAGGATTCCCACAGCCTCTCAATGATGATCAGCCATCGCTTCAGCTCAGTTTCCCAGACGTTCTCCACGGGGTGCATTTTTTCAGGCTCTGTGTTATTTTACTTTATTTGCAAATAAATTGACGTTATATATTTCCTAACAAAGGCACACAGCAACTCCGCATTTCATCATATAGTTTACGCCTTCAGCGTAACTAATTAACTTTGCTTACACCAAGAAAACATAAATACCATCTTTTAACTTCACCAATGTCTTTCACATATTTTTGTTAGGAAATAATAGTACACATCCATTAGCACAATGGATGACGAACCCAACTCTGGATGGTTTGGATGATTTTTTCCAAGCACGCATGGTGTTGACGCCTGCTAGACAGTATAATGAGCCCTGGGAATGATTTCTTAGTTCCTGTGGCACTTGTACTATTTTGGTAAGGAAAAAGAATACCTCTTTGCATAATGCATTCATTTTTGCAATACGCTGTGAGTACAGGAAAATCTCATACTGTCAGTTAGTGGATTAAATGAACAGCAGCAGCTGTAGCCACGTGATGGAAAAAGCCAGGCAATAGGGTTGTTTGCGCTGCTGTATTACATAAACATGACTTTTGCCGGTTAACGCCCTCCCGCTGGGTGCTTCATGCTGCATCATATGCATGTCATGTTATGTTAGGCTGGACACAAACAGCAGCGAGGGAGTTGGAAAGCAGCAGCGCCGGCTGCACAGGGGAGGCTAAAGCCGTGGCTGTACCAGCTCCTCATGACCTGATTTACTAGGGAACCCCAAGAAGAGAGTCACAATAATTGTAAGAAGGTACAATAAAAAGAGCAGCTTAGTTTAGCTTTCTGGATATGCTTACGCCTTACCTGAATACCTTATAACTGTGCTTCTATAATTTATTACTTGCTACTCCTATTGCTCTACCAAGCTCAATAATGAGACCATGACTTTTTTTTTTTTTAAATGAAGCACCTCATGTCACTGTTTCAACGTGACTAAGAGGTTTAGGATGGTGAAACACCAGCACAGGTTGCTCAGAGAGGTGGTAGATGCCCCATCCCTGGAAATATTCAAGGTCAGGTTGGATGGCGCTCTGAGCAGCCTGATCTTGTTGAAGATGTCCCTGCTCATTGCGGGTGTTGGACTCAATGACCTTTAAAGGTCCCTTCCAACCCAAACCATTCTACGATTTTATGATTCTAGGATGGAAAAGCAAGCCACCCCAAAGAAGCTTCTCTGCAATGACTGTATAAGCGCTGTTTCTTTGGCAACCCGAGTACAGCTAGACTGAAGACTGCCCATGGCCACCCAGTGCAGAGCAGGTGGCTCAGGTCAGCTCTCACCCTGCAGTAACATCCTCGTGAAGCTGAATGCTAAATCTCATTTCCAAAAGCAACCTAAACACTCAGGGTGCAAATCGCCACAAAAAAGGAAATAAGTTGCAAACTTCTGAGCGCTATCCTAATTTTGGAAGGAAGTCCGCACCTCTGACGTTGGCTGGTAGGGTGGCAAGTTTGGCTTCTCATCTTGCTCTTTATTCTGTAAAATGTTCGGTTAGCTTGAGGGCATCATAAGCTAATAAACACAGTTTTAATAATCTATATGTCTCAGAGATTGCAGTTTCTGAAGCACCATATGCCTTTGGACACCATTGATTGATAAATCCCAATTTAGAATGACCACCACTTCCCACAGGACAGGCGGCATTTTAGCAAACCCATGAGTAATAATCCATTAACTGAGCAGTGTTGCAAAACTGCATGGAGCAACACATGATGCCAGGATGAAGTTTCACTGCACTTTGTGATTTTTTGGATCTAAAATTACTAGTTGTCCGTATCTAATAACTGCTTTCCTTTCTCCTCTACTTTGAACTCATCACTTCTAGCTGATAACTAGCTGTATTAATGAGTGGCAATTGCCTTCCAGATAATTGTAAAATATACCATGCATTCCTGCCAATGTGTTGTAAATGTATCTCCCCTCACCCCCCAACTCATTTGCTATCTGCAAAGGTATTAAAATACCTGTAGCACAAAGATTTCTGTCATAATCCGGGTTTACTCTGCCACCACGCATCCCTTACCGATCATCGGAGACTCTATAAAACTCCATGAATTAGTCTGAGGGATGTAGGACTGCAAGACCCCCGCAGCTCGGCCAGCTTCGTTCACCCCACCAAAGACATAGATCTTCCCACCGCAAACGGTCGCAGCAGCCGAATGGACGGCCTTTGGCAGAGGAGCGATGGTCTCCCACTGGTTGGTTATCGTGTCGTACCTAGGACAACAGCAACCGGAGTGAGTGGAAATGACGCAATGCTGGGCAGGATAGACAGGCAGAGAAAGCAGGCTGTGATATAACAGAAAGGAAGGTTGACAGGCAGAAGAAAAGCAGAGGTAGAAACATATTTTTTTTAACATCCTACAAATTCAGCCATGTGGTTAACAGTGTAATTAATACTTTTTCTAAGGTTTTAAAACATTAAAAAAAGCCCAGAGAAAGATGGTTCTATTTTCTGTATATGCCTCTCAAATCTCATTATAGTCTAAGCTAAAGAAACTCAGGACATCTTTGTTGAGATGTCTTCCACTAATTAATTTCTATTAATGAGTATACAATGAGATTATTCTTGCAAATCAGTGCAGTGATATCCAATAGCAACCGCAGGCAGGCAACTGTTAATACACTTCAGTTGTTCAGCTTGTGGAACACATCTCACCTACAACATAATGCAACACGATAGGTCTTTTTACTCCAGTTAACTGACCAGAGACGCACCTATTGTGCCAGAATGAGTGGCTTCCATTTAATTTTCATTGTGCAAACCAAACTACTGTGTTTCACTGCAGGATGCTGCAAACGTTAATGCCAGAGTAAGATTTCACCATTGCATCCATATTTGACATGAAGCAAACAGAAAAGAGTACGCATGAAAGTGCTAAATTAGTTTTAAGGTCATCAGTATCTGATTTAATTAAGCCATTGACCATAAGGGATGTGCAGTTAATAATCCATGGATGAAGATTCATTTTAGACAATGTCACAAGTACAGACGTCAATTTTTTTTAAAGATAATGTGGCAGGGATCCAAATAGCTGCTCTAAAATGAGTCTTGGAGACAGTGGAAAATAATGTGATTTTTAGGCTTCTATATTTCCACGTAATGACACATTCAGTCAAACAGGAGTTTCCTGCGTACCAATTATTCAAAATTGTTGACTGCAAGAACAGAAGCCCTCATCACCTATTCCGGGCTTTTGCTCTTAATACTAGTGATATGCAATATGTAAATATGAAATGAATCCATGGTCATGTATCCATCTGTAAAAGAAGATCTAGTGACAGGGGAATTCTCCCTTTGCAACATGTTCCTCAAATTCTCACTGCCTGAACTTGGGGAAAATAAAAGGGACAAAAGATATACATGGTGGAAACAGCACAAAATAATGTGCTTAATGAAAATGCATTAATGAGTTTCCAAGTAATATAACTGAAAGTAATTAACACACTCATAAAAATGAAGCAAAAGCAAGAGGGAGGCAAACTTTAACTAAAAAAAGTACGGAAAGTTCTTTATAATGAGCACGGAAAACTGCCATTTACAATGCTCTAAATTAGTTACTGAGAAATTAAATTCATCTACAACAAAGTGATCAAAGGGGAGAAATATAACAAGATTAAACAACATGGTGCTGGGAGCATTCAAGGTGACACACCTATATTAGGCTGATTCTTAATGTTTGGTACCAAACTCGAGCCTGCAGATGGATGTTTGACTGCACAAGCAGCTCCTCCGGGAAAGGCACCACATGCTGCAACTCCTGCATTTGCCCACAGCACTCGGGGCGGCACTCATGTCCATCCCAGCAGACGTGCAAAAAATCTCACGTAATATAAACAGTTTCATACACTGCTTTTGGGTTGCACTTTTCTAACTGTAGTAAACTGGGGCTTGGCAATTTAATTGTTGATGCCTTATTGTATAATAAAAGCTGGTTAAGAAATTGATTAGAATTGGTTAAAACTGCGCAAAGAAATAGAGCTGACAAAACCTGACCTAACGTGCCTTTCCAGTTCCTTGGCTTCTAAGATATAAATTATATCTGTCACCTGATATGTATTGTCTCCCACCATCCACTCTGACTTTGCACTGGGAGTATCTGTGGCCAGTGGAAGTGCTCTGAGACGGGACAGTGAGCAGCCGCGCTGCCTTCCCCAGTGCTGGCACAAGTACCACAGTTCCCAAGAGAGATATGTTCCTGCCAACGGCTTTCCCATCCTCCTAATACAGTTTTGGGAAGGAGGGGTTATACCCTTCACATTTGCTGTGGGTTGGGTGTGGTTGAGGACCACGTCTAAAGGAATACTGGTAAAAGGTTCAAATTTCAAAGACCCTTTTCTGGATGAATTTCACTATTGGGACCTCAGGTCCTCTAGACCCCATTTTTCACTGCTCTTTCTTTATGCTCTGCAGCAACAGAACTGATCTTTCTTTTTTCTACCCTCCTTCATCTGCCACCAGGAAACCAAAAATGACCAGTTACACTTCATCTGCTGAAAGCCAAAGGCTGCAAATCTACTGGATAGACGTGCAAGTTGGGCAGCCTAAAAAACCTCCTGTCTTGAGGGTCATTTTGTTTAAAAAGTCAGTGAACCATAAAGCAGGTGGAAGCCAGTCCTTGTTCGCCTACCATAGGCATCTAGCGTGGGTTTCGCATTGGCTGGTGGGTGAAGCAATCCTCTTATACTTAAGTGCCTAACTTACCCTGGGGCTGAAGAACAGAAGTCAGTGCCTTCAAGTGCTCCTGACATCTGTCCATCAAGTCCCTCCATCTCCAGGGAATTTCTTCCTTTGGTTCATTCCCTCCTTGCAAAACTGTAGACCTGATTTCTAGTCTCTGTTTTGCTTCAGCTCCCACCCACCAGAAAGTAAGGGGTTTTTTTGTTTGTTTGGGTTTGTTTTTTTTTTTTCCTGTTGGATTATAAAGCTGTCTGCTATCAAATCTCTCTCTTTCACACATGGACTTGCAGAAAATAATAAAGTCACCTCTTCACCTTCTATGGGATAAACTAAGTAGTCTAAGCTCCTTAAGTCTCCCACTGCAAGGCAGGTTTCCATCATTTTGGTCTATCTCAAGTCAGCTCTTAATATGTTCACACAAGGATTTGCACCAGATTAACTAAATTGGTTTAAAAATGAATAAAGTTGAATCTTTGTAACCTTCCAGGACAGGAAATAATGACACCTGCTTTACCTCTCTGCCCTAGGGCCTTCCCATCTGTCGCGTCATCTCTGGCATTGCCATCACTCCACCACCACTAGTGCTGGTGGGGCTCCTCGGCTGCCTTTAACAGCGGCTCTGCTCAAGGGCCAGCGGGAAGGGAACTGATTTAAAGAATAATCACTTTGATCTCTTTCCATTAGTCAAGCTTTGCATCTGATTCCCCTGTTTGAAGCCATAGATGGAGACTTAATGGGAGCTGGCTTTGAGCCAAGCAGAGGTTTTTCTTCCCTCTCCTCCACTGCTCCCTCCAGTTCTGGTGTGTCCATGCTTGTCCTTGGCTACGGGCCTACCAAGCCCATCCAATCTGCTGAACTTGAGACGCTAAGGACATCTCCTTTCACGTGACTGACGCCTGGTTTTGCAGTCCTTGCATGCTACACTCATGTGTGGTTTTATGTGGATGCCCTTGCAGGCCGCCTTCTGCCCCCAGAGCAGTCCCTGCAACCCCACGGTCCGTGGCCCTGCCGTGCTCCAGGTATCAGGCTTTCCACGCCTGACGGACGTGTCTGTCCCCACCTGCCACTTCATGTGCACCGAGCACTGCTGTCTCACCTGACCCTTGTGCTGTCACTATCCTCTGATTTACGTATATACCCGTGACATGGCAAATGATCCGAACCCAGCAAAATATACAGCCCAGGCTTGTAGAGAGCACAGGCAGACATAACCTCGCTGGTTTTCACAACTCTCCACTCAGAATTTCATCTGTGGACCTGATCCTCCTCCTGCTTCACTCATTTTGTTCAATGCCTCCTTTCCTGCTCTT